AGCTCCATTCTCTCTGAGGTGTAGACACTAGCAGTGATGGCCCTGCATGTGACTAGATGACACATCAAGGAAGAAGTTGTGTATTTGCAGGGGAAGGGGGTCAAGATCATGTTGTCTCATTTGGCAGGGGAAAGACTCGACTCACTCACCAGTGTGAACACCTGATAGCCCGAGTCATTGGAAGGTTGAGTTAGGGAGTGTATGAAGGCTTCATGTTTAATTTTCATTTTCAGTTTGAAGGCCTGTGGAAAAAATTGATTTCTAGTTCTATGATATATCTGGATTTTGTTTTTAGAAAGGCAATCATTGAAAAGTTTCTTTGGCTATTGGAACATTATTTTAACAAGGTATTTCTTGGAAGTGACATGGTTTCATCTAACTACTTGGACTTGTGGGAAAATCTATGACTGAGTTTGGGACTGAGAAGTCTAGGTTTCCTTAGAGTTTATTTGCTTAGTTTACAGTTGGGGAAGGACTGCCCAAACTCATATCTCTGCCTTTCTGACGCACTCTTGTTGAGAGTGCAGTGTGAAACCTAATTATCCTCTTGAAGATGTCTGGAAGACTGCTGTATGCTGTTTCCTAAGCGAGCTATATCTGCCAAAACCCAAGAGACTGCTGCATGTGTCTCGTGAGTTGTCTGCACATGCCAAAATCTTAGATCAACATCCACATGAACATTCTAAGCTTTATTAACTTTTTTTTTTATTCCTTCAGAAGTGGCCAAAAGTGTTTTCTTCCAAAGTGAATCTGGACTGAAAAAAAAATTTGGCTACCTGCTCTGTGTGCGCACTTTGGGAACAGAGAAACTTTTTATTTCATTTTCTAGCCTGTCTGTCTGTCTCTGTCTCTGTCTCTCTCTCTCTCTCTCTCTCCCCTTCCAAACTTCCTTGCCCCATTTGTTGAGCAGAAAGAAAATGTTAGTTAGCTCTCCTACTTGGCCCTGTTCGATGGTCATCTTTATGAATTACTCTTTTTAAAATGATCAAGTTATTGTTTTGTCATTGCTTGGCAAGTTATTTGTTTTCCTCATACCTCAATGTTTATTTGGACCTTCACATTTTAATATTATGTCAAACTCTGCTGTTCTCATTTGTTCATCAGACCCTTGAATAAGAGAAATTAAAATGTGGTGCCCCATGTGAAAAAGTTGGACAGCTCTGCTGTTGATCAAGATTTTATATCATCACGTATCTATGAAAATCCCAAAACTTCACTGGATTAAAAAATCTTTTGAGCCTATGTGGAACCCTACTTCATAAATGTTCTTGATTTCAGCAGCTCTTTTAAAATAAATGGTAATTTGAATGCAGACAGCTCCTTTTTACTAAATTGCAATTCTTCAGAATACAGTTATCTGAGGGGATTAGGTGCTACTTTTCTCCCACAGTTGATGAGCTATTAATACTGACTACACAAGCTCTCCTATTAATCACTAATTGGGCAAGTTACCAGAAAGAGCAGCAATCTGTAAAACTGCAATCCAATAAACTGGCTGTATACGAGTCCATTTGTATATTAGTCGACTTCTCTTATCAAGATGGGTCCAGATAGATCAGGCACATGGATCTAATGGTCTTCCTTCCCTGCTTTTAACTTTGAAAATTACTTTAGCAATGACTAATATAGAGAATATAGAGTTTTGGGATGATACATGGGCACAATAAAATGATATCAGGTTAGGCTTGTGGAAAATGCCTCCTTCAGATTAATAGTGATCTGCACATTTCCCTGTGAAGGCTCCAGCTGCTAGAAGTCGTGGAAAATCTGTGAAGTCATGACAGTCAGAGCATTGAAAACTGTTGTATTGCTGAGCAGTTTGGGAGAGAATTCGCTGCTGGGAGAGCACGAGGTTACAGGAAATTCATGTGATTTTGTTTCTCTTAACCCTAAGCACTATTTCTGTGATCCCAATTTGGATTGTGATGCAGGTTGAGAGCCGTTGCCTTATTTGTACTAAGCTTAGCCATCTAGTATTCCTGTGCTTACAAGCCCTATGTTGAATCCTGGTCAAGAAATTCACAGATTTTGAAGTTTAAGTTTTTTTTTCAAATCCCTCCCTTACCTCAGCTCTGCGATCTCCCCCAGTCCTATGACCCTCCAAGATGTGTCTAATTCTGGCTTTATGAGGATTCCTGATTTTAATTACATTCAACCACCCAGATGCCAAGCCCTGGAATTCCAAATCTCCAATATGCTGCCTCTCTTTCTTCTTTTTTTAAGACCATACACACTTTAAAACCTATCTCCTTTGAATAAACACTCTGGCCATCGGTTCCTGTAATGTTTTGGGATGTTTTAGTTTGTTAGAGTTGCTAGATGTTGCTAAGTAGTTATTACAGTTGTTTAAAAGTAATATCTAAAACAACTTTTGTGTTTAGTTCATGTGCCGTATAACTACTTTAAATATGTTTTGAGTGAAAAAAATGTTGACTTGTAAAGTTGTCCCTGCTTTGATCCGATTTACTCAAATTTGGTGTTTTAATAAGAAACATTTACTCCCTTTTAAAGCTGTGAGAATGTTACAGTATGGTGGTGACTTATGTGGCAGAGGTAATGTAAGTGGAACCAAGTTTAATGTTTTGGTTCAGCAATTTGAGTTGATCTCTTCTTTTAAAAAAGAAAACCAGGAAAGTGTAGGCATAAAAAGCTTCCATAAAGAACAGAAGGCATGATGTGGAAATGTCGGTGTTGGACTGGGATAACTTCTGACTTTGTCCACACGACACCAGGTTATAGTCCAACAGGTTTATTTGAATCACAAGCTTTTGAAGCACTGCTCCTTTGTCAGATGAAGTGGAAGGAAGTGTACAGGCGCAGAATTTATAGGTGGAGAGATAATTGCAAGATAATTCTATGAGTGTCAAAGGTTTAACTGGAGATGATGCTAGCATCATCATATTTTTGATTTTCTGTAAATACCTCTCTGCCTTAATTAATCGGATCATAGGTTATTCCCTTTCTAGCTATTCAGCTATTGACTTTACTCATGCCTGTTTGATACTTTTGATCACCTGCAAAGACTTGTTAGTCGGCCTGTCGACATTCCATTCACACTGTTTATACTGTCTTTTGACACTCTCTTAATTACCTGGAATTATCTTGCAATGATCTCACTGCCTATAAATTCTGTGCCTGTGCGCTTCCCTCCACTTCACCTGATAAAAGAGCAGCGCTCCGAAAGTTTGTGATCTCAAATAACCCTATTAGACTATAACCTGATGTCGTTTGACTTCTGACTTTGAACAGAAGGCAAGAAGCAGTGCACCAGCTCTAACTCTCACACATAGTGAACACCAGCTTTTCATTTTCTTTTGGAGAATGAAATCACCTTTGTTGGATAACATTCATTTCTTTCTAACAAAAGTAGTATAGAGGAAATTGAAGTGATTAACCAAGGAACAACATTTGCTTTAAGTAATGGTAATGGTAATGAAAATCATATGCACACATGAAAGGGAATGATTATGTTGAAAAGGCAACTTGTTGAAAGGTCGTAGCTGTTTTACCCAAGGCCCACTTGGTAGCATGTTGTTCCGAGTCTGAACAATGCAAGTTCAAGTCCTGCTTCAGGACTGGAGTATAAAAATCAACTTGTACTCCAGTCCAGTGCTTCGGAATTGAAGCACTTCCAGAAATGCATTCAATGAGATGCATCTGCCCTTTTCCAGTGGACATAAAAGATTCCATAGCACTATTCAGAGAAGAGCAGGAGTGTAATCCTCAGTTCTGAGCAATATTTCCTTCAATCAACAGCACAAAGTAACAGATTGCGTAATTATTATCGTGTTACTTTGTGACAACCCGTCAAACTGGATTCTACGTTTCTGCAGCAGCTGTTCTTAAATTGAACTTCACTGGCTGTGAAGTCCATTAGTCACGATGAACAGCTTTATCGAGGCAAGCCTTTAGTTTTCAAAGGGAAGACTAAGATAGCAGATTCATAGCTGTCGTTGCCTTTACAAAGTAACCCTTGTTAGGAAAGCCCTTCATTTGAATTAAAGTATATATTAATTGTTGGCAAGTTATATTGAAGCCAGCAGGCAGCTTTATGGAAAATTCAGTTGAATTTGCAATTTGTGGAAAGAATATTCTGCCCACTATTATTTTTGTTTGCATTTATTCAATAGACAGATTTATTTGACCAGCAAACCTTTTCCTATCAACTATTTTCTACAACTTGTGATAGTGTGAAAGGGAAAAGCATACTGCTGAATTTCCTGACCAAGAAATCATTTTGTGTGTTTGTATGATCAATGTTGTTCAAAAACGAAGGGCATGACTGATAGTTTGAATTTGTCATCTCTAAATGTGACTAATGAGTAAAATTAATGTACAAAATTCATAAAAATGGGTGTTTTATTGATGCATCATAGGGCTTAAATAACTTTTTCGTATTTTAGAAATTATTTCTCAAACTAGCGCTGGGAAATACTGAAATATAGAAACTCTTCTAATATTACCTCCCTTTCACATTTCTGAGGGCCCCCCTCCCTTGTTTAGGATCCTGGGATCGCCACATATACAATCCTCTGAAATAGACAGATCCCCCGCCCCTGGCATAACAGTGGGAAGTGGTAAAAATGCCCCTAAAGGAGAAAGATGGATAGTTGGGAAAGCGAGTCCGTACAAGAAAGTCATTTGTTATTGTGCTGAATAAGTATTTCAAGTTTCATGTAAAGCACTTCCATGCAATCAGTCTCTCCTATCGCCCAGCTCCTACCAACCCCCACCACTCTCCCCACCCGACCTCTCCCTTGTCCCCTCTGACACCTGCCTCTCCCCAACCCTGTGACTTTACTGTTTTTTTTCCCTCTTCTCATTCATTCCCTCCTCCTCTTCATTTGCAGCCTCAAGAGCCAGAATCTAAATTAAGAGATCTGAGATGTTATCCTCTTCAACAGAGATTGGATTATTGCCCAGATGCATGGCTTGTGGATGGACGTTTTTGTTTTGCTTGGATTTATTGTTCACTGTGTCACTATTTTTTTTGTTTCAAGCTGGCCAGCTCCAGAGTTCAATCCCACCCAGATAAGACTTATTGTCTACCAAGATTGTGAACGGCGAGGAAGGAATGTTCTGTTTGATTCTAAAGCAACAAAGAAAACCGAGGAAACTGCAACCTCAGTAAGTGAATTTTTTTTTCACATGGCTATTTGTTAAGGCTGATCTGTACATGTGAAAATTCATCACTTTATTTGGTTCATTTGTATTGACCTATTTCCAGGTCTATAAGTTCAGTGGGTAGGAGAAGATGAAAGAGGTGTAGCAGCTATCTTATTATATGTGGTGTTGCATTTTTAAAAATTTATATTCCTGGCAACGGAAGGTAGTCCAGAAATTTCTTAACATTTGTCTCCTATTAGAAATGTTATATGCTCCAGGTCTAGCCACTTATGACTGCAAAGAGGGTTTTTAAAAATGTTTTGGTAGCCATGTGGAAGTCGGGCATTCAATTGAACATAGAGATGTGGAAAACATTGCAAAATATGCCCAATTTATGCATTGTTGATGCTTGCTTCTGGTCAGCCTTAGAGGAAAATTGACTTTAGTTGTGGCCACTGCTCCAGGTATTTATGTCTTTTATGGGATAAGCTCTTTGCATTGATGGTGATGTGTCAATTGGGAAGAAACATATATTATGTCATGATACCGCCATGAGAAGATCATTCAAAATTATGGCCTCTTATGCCCGTGATTTGGGAATTTCAGCAAAATGCATTCGTTCTGCTGTATCAGGATCCATTCTGTGTGCATAAGCAAAATGCTACGGATATTAAATTTTGAATTGAAAATAAAAAATTATGGAAACACTGTACATGTTAGGCAATTGATATTTTAGGTCAGTGACCTTTTTTTAAATGCTTCGGGTATTGTACAGTCATGAAAGGCATAAATTCAAACTAGTTTAGATACAATTATATCTGGAAAATTATGACTGTATTCTTCAGCATAGATACACCCAATGGGAGTCTTGCAGAGCTGATTGGAAGTTTTTAAATTTCCACATTCTGTTTTTGTCCTGTATGTGTGATTTCATCACATGGCAAGCGTTCTTAAGTCTTGTGATTATCATGCAACTGTCCTACTTTTATTGACTGTGAAGTTATGAAAATGTCCTGGAATTCTAGGCAGATGTATGGATACAGACGCATGTCTGTTGAAAGATATGATTTCAATGCATGCGAGAGTTTGCCTGAATAGAAAATTGCTTTGATTTTAAGTTGCCTCTACCCGTATGTTATGATTCCTTATTAAAGGACGATATTTAAGATGTGGTGAGGATGTTGTACTGTGGATGAAATAACTGATAATAGGGGATAAAATCCCAGAGTCAGAAGACCTCTGCACTCCATTAAATTTTAAAATGAACAAGTGTAGTACCCAGATAGAAGAAAAAGCGAGATCTTGTATTGTTTCTTTAAAAACAGTCACCATGTTGAGCTGCTTTTAAAATGGACTCTTTCTGGATTTTAAAATGGCGGCTTTTAAACACCGAATGAACAAATCGACTGACTGCTTCCAGAAATGTCTAGCAATTACCAGAAAAAAACGAATAAACTTATCACCTCGTGGAATGTGACTTACCTGATGTTATATGGACATTGCAGCCAAGCCAACACACAGGACTAGGTACCTACCTCAGCTGGTTTGGAACAGTTGGGACAATCAAAACCCATTTGTTGCTTAGACAATTGTGAAATCATTTGCACTATGGCAAAAAAAAGTTTTCTGATGAAGGGGACATCAAAATCGTTAGCCGAATGTCTCGACTGGAAGCTCCAGTTACATGACTGACAGTGTTGATTTGTTTGAATCACCTTTTTTAAGGTGTCAAGACAGAGGATAAAGTGGTTCAGAAGGCATATGGTATACTTGTCTTTGTTAATCAACGCATAGGATTTTAGAGCAAGAAGCTTACGCTGGAATTTGTTTTTAAAAAAAAGTTTGATTAGGACACAGCTATAGTATAGTCTGCAGTTCTGGAATGCACATTATAAGAGGGATGAGATTGCACTGGAGAGAGTGCAGAGGAAATTTAAAAGTTGACGGTCATAAATAGGATAGACAGGAAAAAACTTCCTCCCTTGATGGAGGGACCAGGGCATAGATTTAAGGTAAGGGGCAGAAGGCTTAGAGGAGATGTGGAGTAAAACTTTTCTGGAACTCACCAACTGTTGGGGGCTGTAGAGGCAGAAACCTAAGTAATGGGATTAGAAGAGTTTGGTATTTAAGACTGTGTAAACATGATGGGCTGCAGGCCCTCTTTCTGTGTATAGATCTCTCTTATTATACAGCTTTGTCTGTCTATCAATATGCTTATAACACCTGAAGCGTAAACAGCTCCAGGATTAGCTGTAAACCTAAAAAAGACGCCATTTCTGCCGCCACCAGATACCTATTCCCCTCCCCTCCAATGTCCGCCTTCCGCTGGGCCTGTTCCCTCTGGGACACCCTGGTCCACTCTTCCTTTACTCCCTGCACCTGCTGTTGGTGTAACCCCTGCCCATTTACCTCCTCCCTCTTCCATATCCAAGGCGCCAAACATACCTGCTACTTCACCTGCACTTCCGACAATCTAGTCTACTGCTTACAGTGTGGTCTCCTGTACATTGGGGAAATGAAGCACAAGGTGTTCGCTTCGCAGAACATCTATGTTCTGCTCGCCAAAACAACCCTGAGCTTCCTGTTACCTGCCACTTTAGCACACCACCCTGTTCCCTGGCCAACATCTCTGTCTCTGGCCTGCTGCAGTGTTCCAGCGAAGCTCAGCGCAAGCTGTAAGAACAACGCCTCATTTTGTGCCTGGGTCCCTGCAGCCCTCTGGACTCAATTCAATAATTTTACAGCCTGAACTCTCCCACGCCCTAGCCCCCTTCCCCACACACCAGGCCTTGTTAACCACTTCTTAGTCTGCCCTACTGCTCTTCTCAGTCTTTGGGCTCTATCCCCAACGATAGTTTACTCCTTACCCGTTCCCCCATCTTCTATATATAAACTGACATTTTCCTAGCTACCATCAGTTCTGAGGAAAGATTTGTAGAATCCCTACAATGTTATAGGAGGCCATTCGGCCCATTGAGTTTAAAGACAATCCCACCCACACCCCAACCCTATCCCTGCAAACCAGCACCTTCCCATGGCTAATCCACCTGGTTACACATCCCTGAAAGCTATGGGCAATTTAGCATGGCCAAGCCACCTAACCTGCACATCTTCGGACTGTGGGAGGAAACCAGAGCACCCAAAGGAAACTCGTGCGGACAGTCACCTGAGGCCGGAATCGAACCCGGGTCCTTGGTGCTGTGAGGCAGCAGTGCTAACCACTTAGCCACTGTGTCACCCTAGGTTACCAGACCCGAAACGTTAACTCTGGTTTCACAGATGCTGCCAGACCTCTTGAGCTTTTCCAGCAACTTCCCTTTCTGTTTCTGGCAAATACGTTACTGCCTATTTCTTCTATAAGGGAAAATAAGAGAAAAAGGAAAAGGAAAACAACTGTTACAGATTGGAGAGGAGGACAGTGAATATAATACAATTCACTCTTCATGGTCCGTGGCAGAAAGTACAATTGAATTTCCTGTTTTGCAGATATAAAACAGTTTATTCAGGTCAAACAGAATGGAAAGTAATAGGATATCTGAAATTGCATGGGGTGGAGAGTCGTGGAACAGGGAGAGATGAGAAGAGTAGAAAGGAAAGGCGGGTGCAGTCAGGACAGTGGAATGTGTGATATTGGGCTGGACCCATTTCTTAACGTGTTCAGGGTAGGGGTAAAAATGGAAAGGCTGAATGGAGTGGTCAGATAAAGGATCGGTTATCAGAAAGCCAATTACATCATTTGGTTTTGAGGGTGGAGTTGGTAGGCAGCGTCGTTGGTTTTTATTCGTACTTGAGATGTGGGTGTTGTTGACTGAACCAACATTCGTTGCCAGTCCCTAATTGCCCAGAGGGCAGCTAAGAGTCAGCCATGTTGCTGTGGGTCAGGACTCACGTAGGCTAGACTGGTTAAGGGTGGCAGATTTCCTTCCTAAAAGGCATTAGTGAACCAAATATACTTTCTTGGAACAACAACAGTGATTACATGGTCGCCGTTCCTGATTTTTACTGATTACTAACTTCATATTTCACCACTTGCCATAGTGGGATTTGAACATGTCCCCAGAACAATAAACTGGAGTTTGGAATACTAATTCAGTGATATTACCAATGTATCATTGCCTTTGCAATTTGCCTCTGCCAAATTGTCTGCGCTCCATTTCCATCATCTTAACCAAGGATTTGTTGGAATAGAGTGGCTTTGCTTTTAAAATAAGGCTAGCAATGGCAGCTTCACATTCAGTTAGTTCTTGTAATGGACTGTAGGATGGTGCTGAGATACTTTGTGTAAAGAGGTGTAATCTCTCTTTCTCAGTGTATTGGTAATGCTGGGATCAGTTTATTGGCTAGGAGTTGAAATGATGTTCAGTGAGTGGCCAGAAATAAGAGAGGAAAAAAGTGAATTTGCATTTTAGGAAGAACATTACATGGTCTTCACAAAGCATGTCACAGCTAATGAGTTACTTTTTGTTGAACTGTGCTTGCTGATGCAGTTTAGAAAACACGTACAAACATATGAATTAGGAACAGAGTTCAGCTATTTGGCCTTTCTAGTTTCCTCCATCATTCAGCAAGATCATTGCTGATCTGACGTGGCCTCAACTCCATATTCCCACCTATCTCCAGTAACTTTGACTTGCTTGTTAGTTAAGAATCTAACTCTGCCTTAAAAGTAATTAATGACCCTGACTCCATTGCGCTCTGTAATGGAAGGAAAAATGCCAATGATCTGAAAAAAACCACAAAGTAAAATGAGATATATCAAAACTAGCATTCATTTTTAACAATTCTTCAAAGTGAAGTAGATACTCTTATGTAATGTGAACCCTTTTAAAAACAATGTATTTGTAGGATAATGACTTTTTTAGTCATGACAGCCTTTATAGCAGGAGGAGGAGCTTTATTCCTGACATTCCAGGGAATCTAACAGTTAATCAAAAAACTAAAACCCAATAAAGTTAGCATAAGAAGGAAATAGTTTTTGAAAAAATTGTGGCACTAAAGAATGACAAATTCCAGAAATGTGA